GCTAACTGTTATTCCTAGAATTGTATTGATAATGGGGAAGTAGTAGTGATATATCGGTGAAGTGTAGGGGGGACCCTATGAATAATCATCTAATGGGTTGACGGTGGGATTATTACCCCAAAAGGGGCAAGGGGGACCCTAACTTAGTTGCCATTGACTCGGTTTGCGTGGACTGTCCAGAAGGATGTTGCCACGGGACTTGCCCCAACTAGGAGAACGGCCATCCTTCATCATGCATTTGTTTGATGGACTAAAGTCCTGGATCGCACGAAGGTCGCGCAGATGTTCCCTCCGCCAATGCTCCCAGTCGTTTCGCAGCGTCGCGGACCAGGCAGGGGGATACCATGGAGATTTAGGGTTTAGAGTGGGCTGCAGAGTCTGGGTTCAAGAAAAGGGCGGGCTTAACTGCAGGGGCTGTATGCAGGAGGAGCGAGATTCGCATTGGCCTCCATCAAGAAAGTGCAGCCTAATCATCAGCACGACAACACTGGCAGTTGTATGTGTGTATATATGTACATATACACGTATGTATATAAGTGCACATAAATGCATGCATGGAGCGTGTGAAGTGGGGCTACAGACAGACTGACAAACAGACAGACAGACATATACACATATATACATATATACATATACACATATACACATATATACATATATACATACGTACATACGTACATAGGTACATACGTACATACATATACATACATACCTACATACATAAATACATACATACACATACACACACATACACATGTACATGTACATGTACATATACATACATACATACATACATACATACTCACGTACTTACATGCACGCGCACACACACACACACGCGTGCACTATCTCTCTCTCTCTCACTGTATGTATGTATGTATGTATGTATGTATGTATAAATATATATATATATTTATACATATTATGTATATATGTTCATATATACACACATATACTTGCATCTGTACAAATACCTATACCCACTCCCTTATACATATACGCATACACACCTCTACATACATAAGGCCTCACATACATACATGCATACATACACACATACACCCACATGCATGCATACACGCACGCAGGTGCAGATATTTGTACTCAGACATATACACATACATACATACATACATACATACATACATACATAGAGACAGACATGATTACATCAACACGTTTAGGTTTGTGATCACGTGTATATATACTTGCTTGTTTATTTACTTATTTGCTTGTTTGCTGGTCCATGTATTTGTTTATGTTTGATTACGATTGTACAATGAACGTGCGCAGGAGACACTACAAAGGATGCTGCAGACCCCGCAAGCCTCGGCCTAAGAAGGCAGCTCTCCAGAGCAGCAGGCAGCTGCGGTAGACCTGCAGAGCTTCGGGCATTTTGGCTTCAAGATGCTTTAAGATGTTGGGCCTTGCCGAGACAGAAGATGATATGGCTAGGGGGGGCCGAAGCCCGATTTGAAAATGTTGAGCTTGGGGAAGGGTTTTGTGAACGTGCGCGGCTTCTATTCTAGACCTTGAGGCCACGGGGTCGAACCAGAGCCCCAACCTTCGCCATCCAACCTGCATACCAGCTATACACATACATATACATCTACATACATATATATATATATATGTGTGCCACTTGTAAGTTTGCATATGTTGTGCAGGTGTGTTTGTATATATGATTGCGTGCGTGCGTGTATATATATATAGATATGAATCATATATAAATACCAATATAAATATAATTATAAGTATAAACATATATATATATACATATACATACATACATACATACATACATATGTAGATATAGATGTTATACGTGCAATGTGGCTACTACTTCACTACAGTTGTCGCAAAAATATCTAATGTTGTCGAATCTTTTCCGCTAAAAGCAGTTACATTTTCTTGGATAGGGTTGACAACATTGAAGATTGCTGGGTGACTTGATTACTACTTACAGTAGTTATAGTATTTTCGTGTCGACAGGTTTGAGTGCGATGAATGTCTCTGTAGGTAGATAGATAGATAGACAGATTGATAGACGAGTACATATGCGTACATATACATGAGTATATACATATATACATATATACATACACATACGTCTACTGTATTTATGTGTTTAGTAGTTTTTTGTAGTTGTGCGGTTGATATCTTTTCAATATCATACTTGTTTAACGTGGTTTTACATATTCCGGTAGGTATGTACATACCTACAATGACTCGGAAGTTTCATGTATACTCATCGCCTCTCAGACCGGGTCTTCTTCAGCAACGTGCCTTACGAGATTAGTGAGGAGCAGCTTATCGAGCTGCGCGGGCCTTGGCATCTGACCTTTTGAACTAGCGTGGTTCATGGTTTGAGAACTCCCATGTTTCCGAAGTTTCCATGGCGTGCACTGTGGCTGTTTGGCTTCTGGAAGTTTAGGCTTGTGTCGCTGTTGGTGACCCTGGGTGTTTTGATGTGTTTTGTGCTAGGGGGGTAGGGGACGGGGGTGTCATGACCTGCGTTTTGGCCTCTTGCCATGAACATGGGGTAGGGAGTCAAGAATTGCCAGCCTTAGTCCCGGTGCAGATGCATGGAGTGAACAGACGACTTCTCAACTGTGTGTGCATGCAATGCGTGCATGTGGCGCCACGACCATGGCCTGAACATGCGGAAGTCGCTAGCTGCGCTAGTGGAGCAAAGCAACCACAAGCTCAGGACAAATGAAAGTAATGTTTTCCAGTTTAAGCTCACGTCTGGGCTTCGAAAATGCCCGCCCTGCCAATATAGTGTATCCTCCATCTGAAGCCCCCGCCCAGTGTAAATACCGAGAAAACTGCTTGCTACGATTCCCACCCCAAACCGCCTTAATGTTCCAAAACCCAAGGAAAGCTCGTGTTTCCTTTTGCAGCGCCAAGATCCTGAAGAGCTGAACCCTCGGGGTCGCCAAGTGCGATGCAGCCAAGTTTAGAGATGACGCTGTTAGACCGTTGGAGCTCACATGCCCCAACCCAACACATGCCCAGGTTTCAGCAAGTCGGCACTGTACTGGAGCTCAACCTCTTCCGCAACGAGATGGGTCGATCGAGAGGTATGGGTCACGGCCTCAGCTTCCAGCATGGCTTTCAGCTGTACCATGATGGATCAACATTCCCGACTGCTTCGGGAGATCGCATACATCGCATTTTCCGGCGTTGCGGTGCCATGTTTATTACGCCGTGAACAGTCTCTACAGGTGTTTTTCACGTCTCGGCAGTGCAGATCCGGTTTCATAATCGGTTTGGTCGTCCGGGTTCCTACGCACAGGGCTCAAGTTCGGACAGCGGACAGTCTGAGCAGCTCGCGCGCTTGTTGTGCATGCCGCGTGCGGATGGAAGTGTAACCCCGCGATGGTTGGGGACGATACCAAGTCTGGGTAGCCTCCTTGGGATCGTGGAGCAGGAGGAGATCACCGAGAGTGCGGAGAAGGATGAGCAGACTGCGCGATTTGCTGTGGGTGAATACGTCGAGTATCACAGTGCATCTGCAGGATCTTGGATTCCTGCAAAGATTGTTGTGGTTCGCGATGACGGCTTGTATGATCTTGACTGCAAACAGGAGGTGCCACCGACAAAAGTTCGGCCGGCAACTTTCACAAAGCCAGATTTCGAGGTTGGTGCAAGCGTTGAGTACTTGAGCGACACCCAGGGGGTATGGATACCCGCCAGGGTGAAGATGTATAATGCCATGGCCGGTACCTACGACCTCGATTGCAAGCAACATGTGCCTCCACGCAGGATCCGGCTGCCAGCCGTCAGCACTCGCCCACCGAGCCCGGAGGAGAAGCAGGAAGTAAGCGATTCGAAAGAGGGCGGACTGGGAGAAACGGAAGAGGAGCTTGGGCCCCGGGTCTCCCACACCAGCACATGTCCCGTCGAGCACTTACTGCCTCAACAGGATGGGCCCATCCAGCTTATCAAAGTCTCCCGTCATGGAACTTCTTGGCACTTTGAGTTGTGCCCGGAAGCGGTGAAGGTGCTCGAGGCCTGTGGTCAGGAGCAGCTCGCCGTATGTACAGTCTGCGGTCCCTACCGCACAGGAAAGAGCTATTTGCTGAACCTTCTCCTCGCACGCGGCCGACAGGGCAATAGCCAGTTCCGTGTCGGCTCCACAACACGAGCCTGTACAGACGGCTTGTGGATGTGGGGTTTTGGGCGTGTGCGAGGGGGCAATTCTCCAAGCCTTCTGTTCTTAGACTGCGAGGGCTTTGGAAGCACAGAATCCGACAAGACACGAGATGCCAAGCTCATGTCTCTTTGCATGCAATTATCTTCTGTATTCTTGCTCAACACCAAGGGTGTCCTGAGCGAGAGTCTATTTGGTGCGCTGTCCCTCGTGTGCAATATGGCGGAGCATTTCGAGGAACAAGAAACGAGCAAGCCGGCGCTCCTGTGGGTGTTGCGCGACTTCCTTCTCGAGCTGATGGATGACGGCAAGCGGCTGACACCGGATGAGTACTTGGAGTCGACCCTGCACAAGAAGCCTCCCGACGGGGTGGACCCAAAGCGATCAGAAGCTGCCCGAGAGGTGCGAGAGAATCTGCTGAGGTTCTTTCCGCATCGTCAGTGTGCCACGCTTTGTCAGCCGGCCATCGACGAGCAACAGCTCCGGGAGCTGCCAGAGGTGCCCTTCGAAAAGCTGCGAAAGGAGTTTAGAAACGCTTTTCAAGAGCTTCAGACACGACTTTTTCGCTTGACAGACTCTCCGAAGACTATTGGAGGCCAACCTATTTGCGTGTCTCAGTGGACAGAGATGTTACGCAAGCTAGTGTGCTGCTTGAATGAGGGCCAAGCCATGCGAGTTGACGATTCCTGGGCGCAGGTGGAGCACAATAGCTGTGGCGATCTCGTGTCTGAGTTGCGCGAACGAGCTTCTAGCGAGCTTCAGAAGGTACGGCAGGGCGGCCCATTTCCCATCCCTGGGGGTCGGCCATTGCCCGTCTCAGACACAGTCCTGGTGTCCAGTCTCAAAGAATGCCGAAGGGCCATCCGCGAGGAGTTCCGTAGCCGTGCGGTGGGTGGGGAGATGGTCAAAGCTTCCTACTGGAAGGAGCTGAAAGCAGCACTCCAAGAGGACGAGCAATTTCTTCGGCATCTCAACGCCGAGTTGGCAGAGGCATCCTTGCGCCAAGCAGGAGCGGACTGGACCGCTTGGCTTTCTCAAGACGAGGCCTCGGCAGCAGATCCCCAGCCAGAATCTTTGCTGAAGGCCTTCGGTTCGGACCTTCCGGCACAGCCTCTGGCGCGTGCTGCCTGGGATGCCGTCAGTTCTGCCCGTATGGCAAGGTTGAAAGCCGATGGTATGCTCGAAGCTTCCAAGGCTCAACTCAAGCTTGTCACAGAAGAGTTGGAGAGCAAGGCAATGCTGGCTGCAGCTGCATCGAAGCAGGCCATGCTGGCTGCTGAAAAATCGAAGCTAGCCGAAGGAGAGCAGCTGGAGAAGAATCGCGCAATGGGCCAACTGCAAAGCCAGGTGGAGGCTCTTCAACAGCAGGTCCGAGACTTCATCGAGCGTGAAAGAACTCTCAAAGGGGACTTTATCGAGCGTGAGAGGGCTCTCAAGGAGCAGGTTCTACAGGCAGAGCAGTCCCTGCGGAAAGAGCAGCATGAGAGGAGTGAGGTCGGCCGTGAATCAGAGCAACGAATTCAAGAGCTGCAATCACAAGTAGCTGAACTTCGGTCCGAAGTTCTACAGTTGCAGGAGTGGAGGCATGAGACCTCCGCATCTCCAAGGGATACTACCCGGCCGAAATGCACCTGTAGCATCATGTAAGTTTGCTTGACAGAGCAAGGCCGCGATGAGAAAACTGGCGCCGCAAGCTCCTGGAGACGTGTCGCAGTGTCGGCTTTAATATTATATTAATATGTTATTAATATTATATTAATATTTTATTCATATTATATTAATATAATATTACTATTAAATTAATGTTATATGAACATCATATCAATATTAATCTTATATTAATAGTATACTTAATATAATATTAGTATTATATTAATATTATATTAATATTATATTAATTTTTTATTAATATTGTATTAGTATTAATATTTGCCTTTTGGCTTTCAGATGCGGGCATGATTGATTCAATCATAGGAAATGCTTGCGTGTTCGGCTCAAGTTTCAATTTATCGTTCACATCGCCACCTCCACACAGCGGAGGCTCACCCTGATGGGGTTCACACCTATGCCAGGAATCGACGAGGATGCCGCGACAACGCTGCTTCCAGTGCCTCCGAACAAGCCGAGGCGCCTTTCTCCTGGAAGCCTGATGGCTCTTCGTAGCCGGCGGCTCGCACCAAGTCCAGAAACTCAACAGAGCACTGGGCTGGATTACTTCGACGAGCTCTGCCACTCGCCGGAGAAATGCGCACCTTTGCCTAGCCTCCTTCAGATGCAAACTCTCCACAAACAGAAGGCTACGGTGCGAGAGAGATTGCATGGCTTCGCCTTGTGTTGGGGTCGGCAGGAAGAGCGAGAGGTGAAGCTGCGCGAGATGCTTCCGCAATTGTACGACATCTTCGAGGATTGCAAGCAGAATACCGCGGACGAGGCCAAGGAGGAACCCGAGTCTTCCGGGCCGTGGCAGTATCAGCCCAAGGAGGCTGGCCCAGATAGGCCTGCTCACATCGCGGAAGATGCAATGACGAAGAGTGAGTTGGTGATTTCGGACATCGCATGATTCTGGAAGAAGTAGTTTCCGCACCTTGGGATGACGCAGAGCGAGTTCCGAGAAGGGTGCTCCCGAGTTCCGTTCATTTTTATAGCGTTGCTTGCCTGGCAGTCAGAGCACATCCTCGAAAGCAGGGCTTATCAGTAACTCCAGTTAGTTAGTTACGTTGCTTAAGCCGTTGAAATGAAGATGCATACCATGCCGCACACGGCGCATTGCATGATCCTGCTGTTCTTAGTGGGTGCTATGGCTCCAGGTAGTTATTACAAGAGTCTGAAGGAGACAGAGGTCATTCCCGGTTTCCCCTCTGTGGCACTTCATGTCCGGCTTCCCTGTGACCTTGTGACGGGCGGCAGCTTCACTCGGTAGATATACAAGGTACGAGAAGGCAAATCATAGAAGCGAAGCTGCCGATGTGCAAGTTCGAAGATGTTTCCGCAGAGCTGCTAGCTCGGCGACATCCGCAGGCTGCCTGTAGGCTGTTACTCTGGCTATTTGTACAAATCTGATCTGCACAGCTGCATGACTGGATGGGGTTGGTCGGCTGCCGCTGTGACCCGCACAGTGCATGTCAGCTCACTCAACAAATAAAAACAGGTTCCCAAGCGAGCATTGCTTGACAGCGTTGTTCACCTTGCTCCCGTCAACGTTAACACTCTCGAGTACAGGTCTTAAGCCGTTAAGCAGGCAGAACAGTAGCACGATGTGATTGCCGTGATAAGACTGGCGAGTGAGTCCGGAACCGATGGTGCGCAAGATCCTCTTGCAAACTCTTTAACTCTTTAAAACGTTACTACATAGGGACATAGGGTCGGACAGTTTTGCACTCGATAGGGCTCCTTTTCGGGAAGGGCGGTGTCTCTCCGGTGCTCTTTCTCCTACGCAGATGCGGCACCATTGCTGTGCAGCTTCGAGACACCGTCTGTGCTTGGTGCTGTCCCGTGCCTCTGGTGGTTGGAAACAGGAGCCAACTTAATCGATACAGTAAGATGAAGTATCCTTGTGCCACATGACGTGGTTCACCAAGAAGCGGTCGAAGAGGAGCCCCGCCTGCTTTCGTCTACGAGAGCAGGCAGCCGTCGAGTTTTCGCCTTTAGGGCAAATGATGGTTTTGTGGAGTTGCAACCAGCTGGGACTCGCTGTCCCAGTCTTTCCGGCCCAGTCGGCGACAGCGTGCCTATGACATGCAGGTCGAGCGGGCTGTGGAAAATACCTGGGGTTGGGATCTTCTTCCGGAGACTAGACGGAGTGCACTGTCAACGTCTGCGTAGCCTGCAGCAGTCTCCGTCTGGAGTCCCACGCGGTCTGCTATGAGTGGTTGTGTCCATTATAACAGACCCGTTTGCGCTTTAGTTTTGAGCCTTTGGAGAAGCAGCGACAGCCTCACTCTCAAGTCCGAAGGCCACTGTGTCTTTGCCCACCCCGGGTCTGCTGAGCGGGCCATCGGCGAGCTGCGCGATGTAAACGCTGGGGCCCCAGGCTTGGGGAGGCTTCAACAACCACCTCCAATACTTGTTGGGGTTCCCTACCGCATTTCTTGCAGCATGATGCGTGCACCACGTTGCGATGGTCTTCTTTATAAAGATGGCAGTAGCACGACTGCCGTATTGACCAGAAACACCAAGACAAGAAAAGCACTTGTCATTGTCGTGATGTTGCTGATGGTGCTGGTGTCGGTGGTGACGGTGATGGTGCTCGAACCAAACAGCTCCACTTCAACCAATCATCACTACAAGCATCGGAGTTCATTACAAGCAGAGTCGGACCACTCGGTCCAACAAGTACTGCTGCTACCTTTATTGTTCATTCCGGCAATAGCATGGAAAGCCATCCTCTCAACAACCTTGAACCTTCGAAGTCCTATATAACCCCGAATCCCTCAACCTTTACCGACTGCTCATCAAACCTTGAATCAAAAGCCTAAACTTCTAAACCCATGCTTTGGCTTGGAGGGACTCTTGCTGGAATCCGTGCCTGCTTCGTGCGAGTGCGCGAGTCGAAATCCTAAACTCTAGAGAGTCCTGAATCCCTTTTCACCCGCCCTGAGCAGATACTTTTGCCCTGAAACCCACGTCCACTTTGCACTTTCCGTGGCCGGTTGCATTTTCACTTATTCTAGGGCTAGTCTGCCCCGGGTAGATTTTGCGTGGAGTCACAGAGTAGACAGTCGACCAATGTATCGTTGAGCAGGATCAACCCGACCAGAACTTTAATCAATACAGGCCAACTTCCTGACTTAATGTGTTGAACTGATCCCGAACCTGTGGTGTAGCCTTGTCGTGAGTCTGCGCACCGATGAACCTCGTCTATACTATGCCATAAGTTACGGTCTCCAACCTGCGAAGGTCGGTGGCCGGCCCATATGGGTGGCGGAAGACAGCCGGCCAGCGAGGTCTCCTCATGTGCATGCATACACACACATAAATATATAAATAAATAAATGAATATATATATATATATGTATATATATATGTATATATATATGTATATATATATATGTATATATATGTGTGTGTGTTTATATATATAT